GGTCTGAGGCAAGTGAGTCACACGGAACACTTCCAAGGCCAACTGCACTGCTTTTTCTTGAGAACCTCCAGATGTGTGCCTTAATTAGAAATGGAGAACTCATTCGAAGACGTGTGTAACACTACACCCTTCTCAGAATGGTGTCACTGACAGTTGGAGGCCATCAAGCAGTAAAGCTCTAACACAGGCCATTAAACAAAACTTGCTCTGTAAGCCACAACACCGCTTTGGCTTACAGAAGATCCCTTGAAAACTTCTTCACAGAATCAAAAGAAAAAATCTAGACCTTTGAGAATTTTCTTTGGCACCAAGTGCCCAAATTAACTGCTTTTTTGTTAGATGGGACAGGTAATATGAGAAACAAAATAACAAACCTAAGATATTCAAATAAACATTTTAAAAAATCGAATAAGCTGATATAATTTGGCCTATTTCTCTGTTTTCTCAGGAAGTAGACAGACCCATCAAGTTAAAATTCTACTTACAAAAAGTTTACTTCTAAGGAAGTAGAAAAGATAATATACTGATTTACTATAAATTTCAAAACATCTGTAATTTCAAAAATACATTACTACAGTAACATGACAAACCAGAGAACAGAACCCACAATAGGCCTTAAATAACTAAATTTAAGAGAACTTTCAGGATTTACAAAAAAATGTTGAATATCTCTTTCCCCAATATTTAAACAGATGTCAAAACTTACTTAGCTTATCAACATTTATTCAGCTGAAATAAACTTGAATCAGTGTCCAAAAATGTAGATTATCCAAACTGACAAGGGATAATTTGGGATAATTTGTAAATTATCCCTTGTCAATCTTTCTATTCGAGAATAATCCAGTCTTTATGTACCTATGAATAAAAAGTCCTGCAAAACTGTCTATGTCAATAAACTCTGTTTTTTGCCACATATTGATCTGCGATGACAAAAGTGGGGAGGAGAACTTAAAAATTTTGAAGCATTTGCGTGTTTAGAAAATTAATGGGCATTTAAAGAATTTGGAGAAAATTCACAATGCATATATAACAAAGCAAATGAAAACACAAGCAATCAATAACTCTAGGAAGAATAAAGAGCTATGAAAGAGATGAAACATAACCACATATACTCCTTGGCAGGAGAAGGAATATAAGTATACTAATAAAAAATGAAGTACTGATTTAACCAAAAAATGTAGTCATATTGGAAGAACAGGGAGAGGTTAAACACAGGTGGGGCCCAGGTGATGGTGAGAGCGCGCCAGCCCTCAATTATTTTAAAAGGAGAAGACTGTATAAAGGTGGCAAAGGTACACTGTACTGAAATGTCAAAGTGAATGCTACCTTAAAAGTTTAAAGCAGGTGCTTGGAGATGGACTAGGAGGGGCGCTGTTCTTTTCTCCTTTTAGGTCTTGGCACTAGTAGATTACCTGAGATTTTGTTACTTGTATGAAAGCAAACCTTTAGGAAAGGTTCTGAGAGATTTCTTGGCACATCCAAGGCCATCGGAAAAAGGGAGGAGAAGGTTAATGTCACTGGTTCTTTACTATATCAAATGAAACCTCAAAACATGTCCTTTATGTAGGGACAAAGTTACAGAGGAGGTACGTGTGTAAGCGTATTAACAAAAAGAGAGAAACTGCCTAATGTGGAATTGCTGCTGCTGCTGCTAAGTCACTTCAGTCGTGTCCGACTCTTTGCGACCCCAGAGACGGTGGCCTACCAGACTCCTCTGTCCCTGGGATTCTCCAGGCAAGAATACTGGAGTGGGTTGCCATTTCCCTCTCCAATGCATGAGAGTAAAAAGTGAAATTGAAGTCGTTCAGTCGTGTCTGACTCTTCGCGATTCCATGGACTACAGCCCACCAGGCTCCTCCGCCCAGGCAAGAGTACTGGAGTGGGGTGCCACTGCCTTCTCCGAACGTGGAACTGATCTGTGAGTTTTTACAGAGATGGGGCTTCTGATAACACTAAAAAAGAAAATTCTGATCAGTCCAACCACTGAGGAAAAACAGAAGGGTTGGTGATATACAATGAAGATACATCTGCTCAAGGCCAGCAGAAAGCTTACAGAAGGATGAAGAATTAGCACGCTGAAGTCTGGGACAAGATGGAAACTCAGACAGATGAGTCTATGGCTCATTTTGAATCATCTTAATTCTTGAAATCAGGTTAAGGAAATCCCAGAATTCTAATGACTCCAGGCACTTGATAGAGGTGAAGAAAATGGAAGTTTAATAAGCTTAAAAAGAGAGAGAAGACAAAGAAAAAAAGGAGAAGAGATAGTAGGTGTGGAGAAAGATAATTACCCTAAGTCAGCTCTGCAGTGGTGTGTCACTTGAACAGCTTACCAGAGCTCCTGACAGAGAGAAGCACTTTGGCAATTCATAAACCTATGTTAACTCAAACTTCTGAAAAGCAGGTTGCAGTCATCACTTTCAATACTACACACTGGAAAAAAAAAAAGTAAATCCACATTCACTTTGTTCTAAAAATAGTAAGGCAATTTAAACTCACTTTTCTAATACCATTTTTCTTATTTGTGACTTATTGTTGCAATTGTTACACGGACCAAAATGGGCAGCCTTGAGTGGGTGCCACTCAGGGATGACATTTGTAAAGGTGACCAGATTCTTCATATATCTATTAAAAAAAAAAAAAAAAGACATAATTTTGATTAAGTTAAATTCATTCATGTTACCTTAAATCAATGTCTAAAACAGAAGGCACTTTCCTTTATTTATTCATACTTTCCTATTCCTGCAAACCTATGTAAATGTTCTTTCCTAACCCTACCCTAGTAAAGTTCTCTGTAAGAACTCTCCATATTAATTATCTATAGTTTCTCAGCTATGAGGTGAAAATGTTAAAGGCAGGGTTTCTCAAGGGTAATACCGCTGCTATGTATTTTGCACTGGGTTATTCTTTGCTGGAGGGCACTGACCTGTGCACTGGAGGATGTTGGGCCTCATTCCTGGCCTCTCTATACACAAGAGGCCATAAGAGCCTCCAGCTGCAGCAACTAGCTATCTCCAGACACTGCCAAACATCCCCATGGGGCAGGAAAGAGCCCCGAGTGAAGGGCCACTGCTTTAAGGCTTTCAAATGTATTAAGAGTTCATCCTTACTCGAAAAATTCACCATCTGGCTATCTGTTACTAACAACCAAAAATGAAAAGGGGCACTTACAAAAACATATTCAGGAATAGCAACAACTTAATTATTTTGATACTTAAAATATAAGAATATCAGTTGTGAAAACATTAGGTTTCCACAGTTTATATGAGTTCTAAATTTTGCACTTAAGCCTGAATATTTGATAGCAATGGCATCTGCAAACATGATGTTTACAGATGCACAATAGAATTCAACTCGATTAACAGTATCTTTAAAAGAGCAATTATTTATTATCTAAGAGACACCACCCTTCTTTTATAAATAACTTAAATAACTTACGTGTGAGGTAAGCACAGGCTGTTACAAAGAGATCAATTCTCAGGGAAGCTAACATTTTAAAGGCAAAGACACATAAAGGTATCAACAAATGCACTGACTGTTATTTCTGCTATATTCTCAGTTTCCGAAGATAAATATTAAATAAAGGCTCCTATTTTTCATTAATAAAAGGGAGTTTGTCTCAGCAAATAAGCATTAATGCTCCACATGACATCTCACATTCCTTAGCACGTACTACATATAAGGCACTGAGCCAAACACTCATCTACCAAAACATCCCTGTGGCAGGTGCTCTTTTCATCCCCATTTTAGGGATAAGGCAAATGAGACACATCAGATGATAAACCCAACAGACATGAAATGAGTTCAGGGAGCCCAACTCCAAGGTTTTTAACTGCCTGCAGAAACTATCTTCTGAATCAAGTCAAAAGCTCTTACACTAGCACTAAAAACAGCAGCATACAAATGAATGAGTTTGCTGATATTCTTCCACCAGATTAAGTGAAAGTAAGTTTCAATGAAATGCCACTTCATTTTAAGCTTCCCCCCTCGAACTACTTTTACTTTTAGAGCAAAAAACTTTAACCGAAAAAAAAGAGAGGGGTTAAGTGATTGGATGATTCTTTCCCTTGAGCTCTCAAGAGTTTTTCTATACAGCTCCAAAATGCACTTTTCACTTTGTATTCAAAGCCAACAGATCAAAATAACTGCTAAGTCACTGGCCCTCTGTTATGTTTCCATGTTACTTCCCTAACTAACTGTCTGAATTTGGCCAGAATAAAGATGATTTCTGCTGAGTTCCTGGCACAGAGAATATGCTCAGTGAAAAGCTGTCAAACAACTGAGATACAGATTCTGGAAAAGCTATCATCAAGTTGACTGTCATCTTCAGGCATGTTTCTGTTATTTATATTATTTAAGACCCAGGTGGAGATTAGGCAGCATGTCTCAGCGAGCAGGAAAAGTCTGAGGGAACAGAAAACCTAAGCCTGAGTTGTTTCACTTACTAGTCTGTCACCTCAGGCATCAATTTAACCCCTTACAAGTTTCAGTTTCCATACATGTCAAACGAGGAGCAAGTCAGATAATTTATAAAACTCAATGCCAGAAGACCTAGAAACAGATGTTTGTTCTAATACTCACACAAAGTTACTTAAGTCCTAGGTATGAGTGAAATGCTGTCTTACTCTGTTCCCTGACAGACAGGGAAGCCTGGTGTGCTGCAGTCCACAGGGTCACAAAGAGTCGGATATGACTGAGTGACTGAACTGAACTCTGTTCTAGTCCTTTTGACTTAACTGATTTAAAAAAAAAAAAAAAGCTTTCTCCTTCTACAGTTTGGATTTCCTAGAGCATTCTCTCACACTCAGCTCTCCTTGACTAATCCCTAAATACCTGAAAATAGTCTCAATTAAGATAATGAATATTTAAAGTAGTATTTTTTCATATACATTTATTCAATAACTTGGAGACTCCAAATTTTCTAGTTTACTAACAGATGAATTCAAGAAAAGAGGAAAGGATTTACCTCCATTATAACAGTATAAATGACCAACAGAACCAGCATGGTCATATCTTAACTGCCAGCCAGCCAGTGACTTTCTCATATGTGGACATAGCAAGGGTGTTGTGTCTGATAAATTTTCTCTCCCTGACTCCTCTTCCAAAACCTAATTTCTCTATTTTTTTTTTTAATATGGTAGGTGTATGGAAGCAAAATAACTTTGCAGGTTCTTTCTTCTCCATGTTTCGTCCTGAGTACCAATCTCAGGGTCATGTACAACAATCGTGATCTCTCTAATCCTCACCTAGAGGCAGCAGGGAAGTAGAAAGCATGGCTGAGACAGTTCACGTGTAGAAGGATTCTGGTGGTGGCTGGTCTTTCATAGGACTAAGGGAAGGAATGGGAGAGCATAAGTTACCTCTAAGATCTGCTGCCAGACTCTGGGAGCCTAAAATCAAGTTTCCACAATGTTGAAAACAAGAAAACAAAAGCCCTAGTCTCTAATAGAGGAATAAACAAAACACATATGGTTTTGCAAAGAATTCTAAGAGATGTACTTACTCAGCAGGGAATCCAGGGGAAGTGAGGGAGGCAGGGGACTGTGCTACTTCACCATTAGTCCCCACTTCCCACTAAAGAACTTCTTAACAAAATCCCTTCTAGTAATCTATCAAACCATTTATTTATTATTATTATCGGTACTCTTTTAGTATGAAAAAGCAAGTAAATAATGCAGTTTCTGGGGCTCAACTGCTTCCTTTTAATCTTAGCGGTGGAGAAACTTTAATATACAAAAGGAAATTTTATCAAGGGTAAAGACAGCAATGCTACAAGTGGAAGCAAGTTTTCTTCATATTTCACTACTTGGAGACATTTTCAACAGAATGAATCCATTAAAGAAAATAGAAACACTAACCTGTTTTGATACTTGTGCCCACAGTGTGAACATTCAAAATTCCAAGAAAAAGAGTATGTGAAGAGCTGTTCAATGTGGGGTTCTATTTTTAAGAGCAGGGGAAATGCAAACACAGGGCTTTCCATATCACCTTGAAGAAGAAAAAGAAAAATTATTGCTCATAATGAACTGAAAAAAAATTACAAACTGTCATCTTTTCTCACTATATTCACAGTATGAATATATGGGAATACGTATATATGACAGAGTAAGTTATTCACAGTTGGGCAAGAGAAGTTTTCGAAGCACTTTCTAAAAATGTCCATCATTTTAATTAACACTATCTTTCATTTGTCTTGGTGACACTTATGAAAACACCTAGACAAAGATACAGAAGACTCATAGGGCCCCCTAGATAAGCTTTTCTTGGGGAAAAAAGAAATGCTCAGAACTGTGACAGTTCTAAAGCATCATAAAAACAAAGCAAAAATATATACATTTGTTTGGTACAGATGCTAAAAATAATATAACTGGAGAAACAGTGTAGGATAATACTTTCCGAGTTGGACAAAAGGCCAACTCTACTCTGACTCTCTTGTTCTACAGAGTGGTAAGGGCATGACGCACCAGGCTCAGAGGACCAGACTCCTCAGCCACTACTCTTCTTAATCTTTTAACAATTAAACTTCAACAACTTTAAAACTAAAGAACATCTGAATTTTGTTGTCATTAAAACAAAAGCTGAACTGTGGATTCTGTCTTCCAACTTGGAGAGCAGCACGTTAGGAGGAGGATTTAGATTCTCCTCACATTCATCCTCCAATTGCTTTCCCTCCTTTCTGTCCTCCGGGGAGCTTAGATGCTGCCGGACTGACTTGGCCCAAGGACTAATCCGAGCCCTGCCACTGCCTCCCCCCCAGGGACAGCCTCACTGCCGACATTCACTTCTCCCCAGCCTGCACTACAGTCGTCTGGGACGTGGCGAGAAGAGCCATCCCAGATGCGCTGAAAGGCAGGACGGTGGGTCTTCCTGCCTCAGAGTCAGCGCTCTTAGGCATCACCCTATCAGTGTCAGTGGTCACCAAGGCTATTTTACAGTCCCACTGCTATTTTTGTAAAACAAGAGATCCAAAACAAAATGCTTTTCATAAACAGAAAGAAATAACAAATTAATCTCCTAAAAATGAACATCATATGCATAGAGTGTGTAGTATAGCATGACTTTGTAATTAGTTATCAGCCTTTAAACACTTACTCTGTTGAAACTAATATCAAGTGAAAAAGTAAATAATTTATACTACATTATGACAACATAATCTTTAGCTCGAAAAAATACATAGTTCTCAACAAATCAAAATATCACAAAAGAGCTCAAAACACAATTGAATAAGTTGTATGATTACAGACCATTTTAGGTAATGTACATAGCTCCTAAAATGATCTTAATTATTTTTCATTTGATTATCAGTTTTAGCTTTCTAAAGCATCCTACTAGAGAAACATACAATACCAAAGCTTATTTCTAATTTTGATAACCTCCTGTCTAAATTAAGTGGTTTCTCTATCTCTACTGCCTTAAGCCCAACTCCAGCTCAACTATAGATCTTCCTCAACTCACAACAGGGTTATCTTCCAATAAACCTATACATTTTTAAGTGGAAAATATTATTAAGTTGAAAAGGCATTTAATCCTCCTAACCTACCAAATATCAAAGCTTAGCCCAACCTACCTTCAATGTGCTCAAAACACTTAACATTAGACTACCGTTGGGCAAAATCACTGAATACAGTATCTATTTTATAATAAAGTACTGGATATCTCATGTATTTTATTGAACACTATACTGCACGTGAAAAGCAGGATGCTGGTCTGGATCCAGAATGCTTGTAAGCATATCGGTTGTTTACCCTTGTGATCGCATGGCTGGCTGGGAGCTGCAGCTCACTCCCACTGTCTAGCATTGCAAGTGAGTATCATAGGGCTTATCACTAGCCTAGGAAAAGATCATAATTCAAAACTCAAAGCACAGTTTCTACTGACTGCATTTCTCTCTTTAACACCATTGTAAACTGAAAAAAAATCAAAAGTCAGACCACCGAAAGATGGAGGCCATCTATACCTAGTTTGCATATTTCCCTGAAGTATCTTGTTCATCAGGATGCAAACTTTTCAGTGACTCCTTGCTGTCTAGCTATTCAGGTTTTCTCTTCTGTTACTGGCTCATTAATGTGTCTGGCCACTTTTCTATCAGGTTTTTTCTTTTTTTTTTTAAACTGATGTACAAGAATTCTTCATAAGATATCCTGGATATTATTTCTTTGTGCTATCTTTACACAGAGGTTTTAAACTTTGATGTAACTGTAGTCACCAATCTCTAGTAAAGTAGTGACCTATATTTTCTTCCAAAGTTTTACAACTCTGCTTTTCATGTTTAGGTCTTTAAATACGTGAATACTGGAAGTTTTCTAATTATGCTGTGAAGAAGGGCTCTAATCCCACCCACACCTTCTCCACCCAATCAGGAACCAATCATCACCGTTAGGAAGAAACTAAATGGGGGTGGGGTGGGGGGCGGGCAGGTTTGGATCTGGACTTTCTATTCTGTTCTATTGGTCTGTCTATCCTGACACTGGTACACAACACTCAAAGACTAATTTACTTTCTACACTTACATAAATAAGTAGACACCCTAAAATACTGGCTTTTTCCTTCAAAAACAGAAAACATATATACAATGAAGGAAAAGAAGTATCAAATTGAAGATAGCAGTTACCTTTGTGGTGAGGTAAGGAATAATTTGGAAAGAGCACAAAAAGGGTATTAGTTGTAATATTTCTTAAACTGTGAGGAGGGAGAGCAGAGAGGATAGCTTACAATGTGTTTTTTTTAAAAAACAGTAATGAAAATGATGAAGTGTCTGGCTGATCTTAAAAATGCAACCAACATTCCAAGCCAGTATGGGTTCTACTTCTCTTTCTTTAGTGGTTTAGAATACATGTTAATATTCACAATGAGGACACACACACTGTAAGATTCCCATGTGCTCCCAGAAGCAAACGTTAGGTTTCATCAGTAAGACCTTAAGCACTAACATAGCCCCTCTCACTGCTGAGTAGTGCAGACACAATGGGAGGATGCCTCTGTACCGGAAGAGCTACATGCCTGCCCAACTGCTATGAGTGCACAGCTTTAAGACATCCCTTCTCTGTTATACAGAAATCCACATCCAAGGCAGCAGTAGACCAAGACACAATCTTCTAAATATTTATAATGAGCAGGGATACGCAGGGTGGTGATTCAGACTGGGGAAGAAACCACTCTTTAAAATTCAACTGGGAACTGGAGTAGGGAACCTGAATAAAACATCTCAGGTCACTCTAGGGGGGAACTGATAGCCGCAAAATGCAACACGGGAGCCCCTCAGTCTACACTCTGGTGATCTTATGGACAAGGCTCCTCTGGGATGAGTCCCCACTCAACAGATGAGTGGCTGGAGTAGTCTACTGGGGGAAAGGACAGGGGAAGCAGCCAATGGTTTAACGCCTGAGTGCTGACCTGGCTCTGAGAGCTGTATCCACTCTGAAGGCATGGAACACACGTGTGCATATTTATATAAAACAACTCCATCCTTGAATGATTTAACCAGTGATACGTTTCTACCCAGATTCTCCCTTCCAAGAATCTGATCATCCCAAGTAATAAAACAGTGTTGTATTTCCTTATGATGTAAGTATGTCTTTACAGTAGATGAGTAATACAGTTAAATTCCACAAATTACTTACCTAATGTACATCTAAGCTGAGGTTGAAGTCTAATAAAAATTTCATCTCTGACCTCATTCAGACAGGTCTCTATCTCTGCAAATATTTCTGAAGGAAGCTTTTTACAATCTCCATCTAAAATAAAATATAGAACATTACTGATTTCTCATCAATCTGTATCTTTCTATAGACAACACATTATCAAAAATGAAAATTTATCAGTCAACAAATTTTCCAGAGACAAAATGGAAAACTACAAAATTCCTTAATTCTTCTTCTCTTTGTAGTATATCATGTGTGTAAATGCTTAGTCAACTCACTTGTGTCTGACTCTTTGTGACCCCATGGACTGCAGCCCACCAGGGGGTGTCCACGGGATTCTCTAGGCAAGAAAACTGGAGTGGGTAGCCAATTCCTTCTCCAGAGGATCTTTCCGACTGAGGGATCGAACCCAAGGTCTCCTGCATTGCAGGCAGATGCTTTACCATCTGAGCCACCAGGGAAGTCCCATAGTATACCATACATTCCCTCAGTCTTTTTTAACAGCACAATATCGTTAGTACTGACTGACTGGCTCAACATCACTCTACCCAAGTAAAATCTCAGTGAAAAGTTTTTCTCACTCAAATAATCACAGGCCTAGCTAAAGAGCTACACGTTAATGTTCTGCCCATCTCTAAAACATCTGAGGCCATTTCTTTCAATGCAATTGTTCCTTACGCTAAGACAACTTCTAATCAGTTAATCTTCTCTGTATAACTTCTACTGAACTTAACTAGATCACAGAACAGATAAATTTATAAGGAGTGTTAATATTATTATTACTTCCCAAACAAACATTTGGTATGTTTCCCTCCTTCTACATCTTTTTTTGGGGGAGGGGAAGGAAGGAGGGCATGAGGGGTCTTCACTGACATCATCGCATTTTGTACAATTCCACATTCTGCTTTCTTTAACACAAATGTGCTTCAATAAAAACTTTGCAGGCTAGTTATTACACTCCAACTGAACCATAGTTTTATTGGCCATTCCCTACTGCTGGACATTTAAGATTTTTTTTTTTTTTTTTACTATTATAAATACTATTATCATGAACATCTTTGGACACATACCTGTCCATGTTTTTGACATTCTTTAAGGCAAAAGTCCTCAAAATTACTGACAGAAAACTAAGATTAACAAAATTATTTTGAGTAAAAGTCTCCATATGCACCTGACTCTAATTACTCTTAGGCTACTAGATCTTTTCACTTCAATCTCTTACAAGTAAATAATTCATATAGCCTGGTCACACACTGCTTGTGTGTTTCACTCCAGATGAGAACATCTGGAGTATCCTATAGTATGAAGTGAGCACTGACTAGAATTTTTGGTATCTGATCACACTGGAAAAAAAGAGAAAACTTACAATCAACAATAATGCAGCTGGAACAAATGTAATTACAACTATATTATAAAAACAACAATTATCTTATAAAAAATGAATAAAATACTGAATAACCAAAGTCAAACTGCATAAAAGTAAGGATTCTCCCCTACCAGATACCAAGACCCAAAAGGCCGTAATAATTAAAACAGCCTGGCACTGGTACAGCAATAGGAAAATATTCAAGGATGGGGCAACAATGTATAAGATTTATATAAAAGATTGCAAGATCAAAGTCAAGCTGAGTAAAGATGAGGCTAGCAAGACCTAAAAAGCCCTAATAATTAACATAGTGTGGTGCTGGTGCAGAGACAAAGTAACTAAGAGGCTAAAACTGCGTGCTAAGGAACTGCTTACACAGACTGTAATATGACAAAGCGGGCATAGCAGGTCACTTGAGGAAAAAGGTGGAGCTAGAAAAACAGGCTATGCAATGGGAAAAAAATGAACCCTTACCACACACCATACCTAATTACCTCCCACTGAATTAAGAATTTCAAAGTAAAAAGCAAAGCTCTGTGACTTTTTCAGTGAAAACACAGGTGAATGACTTTCTCATCTTGGATAAAGGAAACATTTCTTTTTAAAACCACACACATTACTAGCTACAAAAAGAAAGATGAACAATTTCTGTACATCAAAAGACATCTTTAAAAAAGCAAAAGCACAAGATACAAACTGGGAGATGTAGCAAGCTATCTGACATAAATAAATATAGCAACAAGGACATATAAAAGTTCCAATCAATAAGCACATGACAACAGAACAAAGAGGTATAAGACACAAACAGGCTTCACAGAGAGAACAGAGGGTCAATCTATATAGGAAGAGCTGTTCAACCTTCCTAAAATTGGGGAAAAGCAAATCAGGACCATTTTATATCATTCAAATAGCAAAAATCTCCAAGTCTGAAAAGAGCCAAGGGAGGAAATATGGATGAGGAAGATCTCATCTACACTGCTAATGGGAGTATACACTGGCACAACCACTCTGGAAAACCATTAGCCTTTATCCAGTCTGTGTGAACTCAGAGTCTATCCTGAGATAGATCCAAGGGAAACTCTCGGGCCCCGAGAGATTGGCCTAAAAACAGTCACAGCAGCAGTATTTATGATGGCAAGAATCAACCCAATGAGAGATGAATAAATGTACTGCTATATTTACAAACTGGTATTCTAGCAAACTGGAAATATTACATAGCAATTAAAATTGGTGAGCCACAGATACAAGCAGCTTTACAGATAAATCTTTATAGAAAAAAAGGTCCCAGAAAAAATATACTGTGTATCTTTTTTAATAAAGTTCAAAACATTAAATTTGGCAATACCTTACTTAGCCATATATATGTAGGAAGAATTATTTAAAAAGAAGAGATGATAAAATACATTTTAGGATAATGATTACCTTCGGGGGGAGGAGAGGATGGCATGGGGAGGGACACATAGGTACATGTAAATCACTGCAAATGTTTTATCTTGGGTTGGAGGTGGTTCCTGGGTATCCTATTTTATAAAAAAATAAAAATATATCCCTGTGAAGTGATTTTTGGAGAGTTGTGGGATTATGGGTGGTCTATTTACTTGCTTTATTCCACTTTACAGCAACTCAAAAACTTACAAAAGTTTTACTTTGATGGGACTGTATGTTGACCATTGACCAAAAGATAAGATATAGCCACAGACTCTTTACTGTTTTTTGTGTGTGTGTGTGAAAAAGACTGCCTTTTGGGCAGTCATAACACAACTGATATTATCTCAAGCTTCATGATATGGTCCCTTTGGTCCCTGCTCCAAGGTCTCTACACAGAACAATGGGTATTAATGGCATCTTTTTCACATGCTATGAGCCAAGTTCAACATTAGTCTCTCTAAAAATTAAAGAGAAATAAAATGTTATTACTAACCTTTAACTCCATCCAGCTGACTGGTGTGCAGAAGCATATTGGCTTGATTATACCTGGTAAACAACCGCCCGAACATGGACTCCTCTTTAGAGCACAGGTCAGTCACAGCGCTTTTCAGCCCTTCCAAGTGCACCAGTGCTGACAGGATACAGTCTAACCAACACAGAGCATGTGCATTTTCCCACTGGACACATGAGGTCTGGCAAAACGAGGTATGTTTGCTCTCCAGTGGCTTTTCCAGTTCAGATGCACATCTTTCATTTTGAGGGTGAGTCCCTTCAGTTCCAGAAACATCAACCACGGTAGCATCTTCCTCAGGAGCCACGTCAACAGCATCAGCTTCCAAAGCCTCATTCTGCTCCCAGGAATCAGCTGTCCTAACTGGATTCTGTTGTCCACTGTACAGTGAACCAGGTAAGCCTGGTGAGGTTCCATCATGTTCTCCTCCATTATGGTTATTCAAAACTTGTCCACTGTCAATGTCTTGATGATTTTTAGTCTTTTTGGAAACTAAAAAAAGAGGTGACTCTTCACAGTTGGCTTCCAAGATCTTTCTTTTTTGAGGCTTATTTGGAGTGTGACAATTTTCCAAACCAGGAGAAATTAAGTTATTAAGTGATTTAGAGCCCAAAGGATAGATGCACTAGAAAGGAAAAATAAAAATTCAAATAAGTTCAAGCTTTACTTTACCATTCCTATGTCATGAAAAATATGTATAAAATGTTAGCATTAATTTGATATGAGAGGGTATATGATATTATCAATCTAAATTTGAAGGAACAAGGATAAACAACTAATCAAAAATTTAGTCCTCAAAAGAGTAATTTTTTCCTAGTTAATTTGAATAGTTAAGGGTTTAATCTAAACTACACCAGAGTAAGTTTACAAGGAAAACATACGTATTTTTGCTTTAACAAAGAATCCAATGTTGAATGAACTAAAAGTTCTAAAATTTTATGATTGAGTGTACTATTCTTTTGGGGATAGGCATACTGCGTGGAGAAGGAAATGGCAACCCACTCCAATAGTCTCGCCTGGAGGATCCTATGGACGGAGGAGCCTGGTAGTCTACAGTCCACGGGGTCACAGAGTCGGACACGACTGAGCGACTTCACTTTCACTTTATAATGCGTGGCATTAAAAACTAGAAAAATAGTTTCAACGTAAAAAGTTGCAAAGAGTAATGACTGTTTCATAGTTTTGAAACTGAGTGTTAACCCAAGAACACATCAGTGGATCAACTTTACAACCACACTGGTTCTCAAAATCAAACTGGCTGAATTTTAATGACTTCACTATGCATGAACACAATTACAGCCAAATAGCAAAAGGTGTAAACAAATCACTAAAATAACCAACGAATTTTCCCTAAGCTTGAACACTAGCAAAACATTTTATAAGATAGATGCAAGAAATCTACATCCTGTATGCCTTCACTTAAAACATGCCTTCTTCTATACATGTATGGTAGACAGCCACCTCAGTGGCCTCTAGTGAACTAAAGAACTCTATCTCCAGGAAGTCGGGCCCTAGAGTCAGCCCCCTGCCACAGCCTCGGGCTTGGCCATGTGACTAGCTGTGATGGGACATGAACAACCAGGATGCACATGGAGGCCTGATGCACTGGCTGACTGGACTTGTCCTCTCGCAGCCCTCTTTCTGGAAAACACTTTCTTAGTTTCAGTTATTGCACTGTAAGGATCCCAATTAGCCTTATGGAGCCTCGTGGAAAAAAAGTGAGATCCTGGCTGACTACCTGAGTTGAGCTCCCAGTTGGGAGCTGGCATCCAAAGCCTGCCACACTGACTAAATTTAGCTGTACCAGCCAACAAAATGGTAAGTGTAAGAACTGCCTTGACAACCCACAGAGTCATGAGTGAAGTTGCTAAATCACTTTGTCACTAAGTTTTGAGATGGTTCATTTTATAGCAACAACTAACTGAAATGCACTAAGAAAGAAAGAAAGAAAGATGTCCGACTCTTATGATCCCATGAACTGTAGCCTGCCAGGTTCCTCTGTTCATGGGATTCTCCAGGCAAGAATACTGGAGTGGATTGACATTTCCTTCTCCAGGGGAACTTCCTGACCCAGGAATTGAACCCAGGGCTCCCGCACTGCAGGTAGATGCTTTACTGACTGAGCTATGGGGGAAGCCTGAAATGCACTAAATCCTCCATTTTAAAATTAAGCATCTTCTATACAAGTTAACACTATATTCCTAATATTGTACTTATTTAGAAATTCTTTAGTTTAACAGGACAAGTTCATTTTTCCATTACTAACTAGTTGTGTAGTCACTATTAACTAACAACTTGATCCTCAACTTTTATACCCTGAGATCACTTCCCTAATCCTACCACATGTCAGACGACATAGAACACTTTAAAATCAATAGTGGTAATTTTGTATTCAAAAAGTTGTCCAAAGAAATTGAAAGCAAGACCCTGAAGAGATATTTGCACACCCATACTCACTATAGCATTATTCACAATAGCCAAGAAGTAGAAGCAAACCAAATGTCCATGTACAAACAAGTGGATAAAGAAATTGCGGTATATACATATTAACACAATAGAATGTTATGCAACCTTAAAAAAGGGAACTCCTTTCATATGGTACAATATGGATAAACTTTGAGGTCATTACACTACGCAAAATCACAAAAAGACAAATACTATATGATTCCACTTATATGAGGTACCTAGAGATAGTCACACTCATAGACAAATTAGAATGGCAGTTACCAGGGCTAAGGGGAGAAGTTGTTATTCAATGGTTACAGAATTTCAGTTTTGCAAGATGAAGAAGTTCTAGAGTTCTTAAGTACATAATATTTAGAGGTTAATAACTTTCTCAGTGAGTCCCAAAGTTAATAAACCAAGAGATGAGAGTGACAACATCTAAAGGACCCTCACAAGGTTTAAAAAAAAAAAATCTTGAAATATATTCCCTCCTCTAACAAGTCTAACATCTTCATGTAATAACTCAGGAAACTGAGTGGAAAAATAACAGAGAATATTTAAAATTGCATACCAGCCAGATCTAGAGACTTTGATTATCTATATCTTAAAATACAGTCTAAAAACTACAAAATGAGCACAAATTTAAACAGTGATGAAAAAAGCAAAACGCTAAAACTTTGATACCATCTAAGATTAATACTTTACCTGCAGATCCTCACACAAAAAGACAGATTCTTGAAAACTAATTCGGTAAGTCTTTAAGGCTTTTAACTTTCCCTTTGCCCTACAAGCAGGGCAATACTCATCTGACAAAACTTTAGCTGAATCATAATTCTAAAAGAGAAATAAAGTAAATTAAAAGAGATACTCACAGATTTTATCAAATTACAAAAAGTAAAATGGAAAAGTAACCAGAAAATTTTTTTTATAATTTCCACCTAGAAGCATCCTGGCAAGATATCTTAAAAGACAGCAAATAAAAGAAATGCATACAGGCTTTAATACAGCTATTATTCCAAAAAGAATATATTCTAGTTTTAAATATTAAATTAGGTGTTAAGAATAGCATTAGTTTTATTTGCAAGAAAAAAAGTAACATCAGTTACCACCGAAAATAAGTTCAACATTTTCAAACAGTAAACCATAAGATCTATGTTTTTTTTCTACTTTCACATATCAATGAAACAGAGAGGTAAACAGAAAACAGTCTTTCGCCATTACTGTAAGATTTCCGTGGAAGATACACATTTTTTAGAAATTAATTGGTAAAATTAAAACCAAATTTAAGTCTCAAAAACAGGAGGGAAAAAAACCAACTTTGCACTGAGGCAAAAAATAAGTGCACTAACTTTTCCCAAGTACCCCACCATGTGGAGTGAAGATTTCCCTATATCAGCCCCTGGTCCAATCACTGGCAAACCATTTCCACTCTTCAGGGAATCCGTCATTCCGAGTCATTGGCTAATTTATGTCCCTTGAAACATGTCAATAGCACTAAGGATTTCTCAATGAACCCTGGAAAAAAAAAAGTCAATAGACAATTAAACAAATCCTATTTACTTTGAAAAAGAGCTATGCTATCTTAAAAGATGGATACACATTAAGTATATTTTGAGAACTCTATATCCTAGGTTAAACAGATTCTAAAATTGTTATTTTGAAGTGAAAGCAAAATACCTAAATTTATTTATAAATCTAGCAAATTTGTGGGAAGAGGGCATAAACCAGCAATAGGACCAGTCTTCATAGTAGACTCATTGAAAAGCAAACTTGTCAAAACTTGTAATAGTTAGCTATTATTTAACTTTATCGATCAGAGTTTGAAAACCTAAGTTTTCAGTCTATATACAATTTAAAACAAATATATATATAAACATTATATTAAGAAAGTACTTTACAAAACCCAGATACATTGTGCTATTACCTGATAAGGACAAAAGAACCCCCTACATTCCTATTGCTTTCAGCTAACAAGAATACATCACCATCAGAGAACAGTGCCACTTCTTAAAAGCTGACAATAATGTACTTTATTTTACATTAAATAATTTGTAACAGAACAAAAATATAAACACTGTCATAGTACAAATTACACATGTAATTTGTGTTTTTTGAGTGTAGTCCCCTGGAGTAGAATCCCATTCAGTCAAGTCAAAATTATGAGACTGGAGCTCAGTGTAAGGGAAAGTAATTGTTAACAATAGTTTAGATTTAAAATACAAGGAAAACTAGATAAAGGAGAACTCTGAGCAGAGTGAATCACCACTTCACAGGGATGTTGTAGAACACTTTCAAAAAAAAAGTTTCTCCAAAATCTAAGAATCCATGATTCTATGACAACCACCTCCTGGGAAACTGGGGCTCACAGATTCACTTTAGAAACTAGTTATGCTATTCTGTTTCAGAGGAATATACTTTACACAGCTTTCGAGCCAAGGAATAATTCCAAAAATAAAAATGCTCTTTAGAAACGCATCCGTGGATCTCAAGTTGCTATTCCTAAAGAAACATCCATAATAAGCAGGGCTCCTCAACCACAAGATTATAGACATCATAGACCAGATCAATTTGTTGTGGAGGCTGTCCTGTGGGTTAAGGGGATGTTCAGCATTATCACTGAACTCTAACTGCTAGATGCCAACAACAGCCACCCCTCAGTTGTGACCATGTTTCCAGATGTTGCCAAATGTCTGTCAAATGTTGCCAACCAGGGGGGTGGGGTGGGGGTAGGGGGTCAAATTCAGGCCACTGAGTATCACTATCAAAAGGGTGAAAAAACAAGCTTGGTGCTTTATCCTTTTAAGCTCCTCAGGGACAACACCAATTTGTTAACTCTGGCTGTTTCTGTTTATAACCTACTCACAGAAGAGAACTATACAGAAGAGTCAAACTTCTAGGATTCAAGAGTGGCTAAAAGCACGGGCTTTAGGTGCAAAACTGTATTTGGAAAATTAGGTGATTCTAAGAATTAAATGCAATGCGTGTAATGTTTAGTAATGTTTAGCACCTGACACACAGCAAATTTTTACTATTTAGTACTATTTTATACATTATGCAGAAAATAGGCAGCATAGCTTGGATCATTCTGTAGTATTCTCAAAAAAAAGACTGGTAAGCCACGTATCTGGAACAAATCTTTCTTGTTGAAAATTTCCATCTGCCTGAGGGATTAAGAAAACTATTCCAGCTAGTTCTCTCTTTACTAAAGTAAAACGCGGTAAGAATTCAAATTTGCTCTCCTGATCCTATCACCCAATAATTTCAATGGAAAAACAGGTAGGTTGGTGGTTGAAATCCTGAATATGCAGAAGCCCCAAAAGAAAATTCATTAAAATAAATAAATAAATAAATAAATAAATAAAAGTACCAGAGAGAGGCTATTCAAGTCTTTCAAATACAACGTACTTGGTCCTAGACAGGAAACCCTGGCGTAGTTCTTATAACTTAATTTGTCCCTGAACGACTGCCCTCATTGTCCTCCCTTCAAAAAACCACTTGCTCCTGCTCTTTTTGCTTGTATTTCTCCTAGACTTGGCACCTCAATGCTTACAAACACACATACTACAAAATCTGAGTGGTTCTCTAGTCAAAGTAATCAAATTCTGAGGACAGTTCTTTGGAAGCATCTCAACCCCCACCTCTGTCTTCATCTCCATCTCCACTTCCTATCACTGCCAAAGTGATGCTTTTATTAAAGAAAAAGAAGTCGGAGTCTGTCGCTGCTCAGCTTAAAATCAAGTAATGACTCCAGTCTAATTACAGTAAAGTCCAAACAGCTCCGTGCGTGCGTGTTCAGTCGTTCAGTGTTACCTGAGGGCAATGCTAAGACCTAAATACCACCGCACTATGAGACCACTGGCTTTCCAGTCTTTCCGTCTACTCCATTTCACCCTCCGCATTTTTTTTCTGGGCCGCACCACATCCCCCCCGCCACCGTTTTCATTACTTCTGTGAGCCACTGCCGCTCCAGAAGCCCAAATGTCAAGTATTAACCCAGCACGGACCCAGTTACAGCAAATAAGAGTCAAGTTGGCCCTGGGGCTAGCGAAAGCAGCAATTAAGCTGAAATCACAGCCCAGCGCAAAATGGGGAAACCTAGAGAGCCAACTACTCGAAGAAGGCCTTACACCCGTTTAAGCTTTCCCTCCAAGGAAGCGGGCTCGGCACGCGAGCTTTGACAGGCCACAACAGACTTGAAGCTGAGAGCTGGGGCTGGCTTTCGGCGCCCAGCCCTGTCTGGTACCCAAGCCAGCCGTCCTGAATCACAGACCAGAAAACGTCAGTTTCAAAACCCAACCTTGGAAACCCGAGAAGGTGCAGTGTTCCGTTAATTCACGCTCCTTATGAAGGAGGGGGGGGGGGGGTGAGGGGGAACCTCTGGTTTCTCTTCAGCATTTACCTCTGAGTCCCAGCGAATGAATCTGTGACTCTATTCTGATACCTTACTCACCAAGCCTTTCCCCCTCCCAGCCTAGCCCCTCCTTTCAACCAGCGGAGTACCCTCACAGATCACCCCAGCTCCGTCCCCTTTTCCTATTTCAGAAGCTGAAGGAAGCTACTCCGTCTTCTCTCTTACCTGCCGCCGGCCCGGCCTTTCCTCGCGTCCGGGTCGCTCAGAACTCCCGTTCGAACTGGAGCTCCCACGCCAGAGCGCGACGTTCAACTCACGTTCTCCTCGGCCCGCTCCTCCCCCCGAGCCCCTCCGCTAGGAAAGCAGCTTCCGGTTTGAGTCCTCGGCGAAACACTTCCCCTTCCGGCTCTGCGTGGGGGCCCTAACAGGGCGTAAGCCGGGCAGGGAAGTAGGCGACAGGAGCACTTCCGGTCGGCCTCCGCAGAGAGGCGTGGCTTTCCGCTCGGCCGCCGCAGCCGCAGTTGTAGCTGCGGCGACGACTAGGGGCGGGGCCGGTGGCTGCAAGAGCCCGCCATATGTGAGTGGCTGGGTCTGGGGAGGCGACGTTTCTGGAAGCTGCTGGAAAGCGCTCGGGTGGCGGAGGTGACGCCGGCGGCCAGGCGGGGGAAGGCGGGGGAGAGTGGGGCGTGATTAAAACTAGTGCGCGGCCGGCAGCGGAGGGATTACGCTGAGGAAAGAGCTCGCGCGCGTCTCGTTGCGCCTTGGCCGAGCGAGCCTGGGTCGAAAGCCTACGCTCCCTGAATGACTTGGGTGGGCCGGCGGGCGGGCGAGGAGCGAACGACCCCCACAGCTGGCGGAGGGTGCGATGGAAGGGCTCTCGGCCGGCGCCCGTCCGCAGCGCCGAGGCGCCGAGGTTTCCGCGTCGGGGCGGGCGGCGCGGGGCCCCGGTAGTCCGCTCTCACGAAAGCCTCTGCCACAGAGCCTGTTCTCAAAGGGTCACCACACACGGGCCTGCCCCTCCCTGTCTCCCTAAACCCCCACCTGCGAGGCCAGGGCCTTTTTCACCAGGATTCTGGGTGTTTCTCCTCCTTTCCTCCCTCCCAGATCTTCTCACGGTAAGGGGAGTAGCCGCAGCACGGGGACCCCATTCTTGGCTAGTCAGGGGCCGAGATGTCCTTAGCGCGCTCCTGTCAGCTGCCCTATCTTCTTGTAACTTCAGAAAAAGGGGGAGTTCTCCATGAGTCGATGAGTTTTCAGGCTCTGCTTTCGTGGGAAGGTCATGTGGCTTCAGGGACATCGTGACCGCGCGTGCTGTTTCTTGAGTCTTGCATCCTGAATCTTGGGAGCAGCATATTCCAGAAGTCCTTGGCTCGATTGATCCTGCGTCCTAGAATAACAACATGTTTCTCACCCATTTCCTTACAGAATAGTCACTACTCTGGCATTTTGGATTGTGGGGCTTTTTTTTTTTTTTAAGTGGTCTCAAACTAAATAATTTAAATATTTAATGCTGATCGTTTTGATAAGATAGTATAGAGGAAGTCAGTCCCCTGTACCAAGAAATCCAGTGAGAAGGATTTTAGTTTTCGTTACTACTGAATGTAAGCAGCTAAGAAATGGAACAGGGAGTTTGTTTTTCTCCAGACTGAAAAATAGTCTGGTTTTTGTTCACCTTTTTTTTTTGTTGTACTAGGTAAGTAACGTGATGCTGTTGTTTGTTGTTAAGATCTAGCTTATTAGGTTTTCTTTTTCTTATTTTAACGAATTAGGAAAATATAAGAAGGTAGTATTTCGTTCTGAAATAGTAGCCAAAACTCAAGAAGATTTATTTCATTTTCACACTTGCTATTTCCATTTTTAGAATGGAATACACTTTTATGTAATAAACACTTGCTGAATGTTAATGTCATACATTAAACGAAGTAATTGATTCCGTTAAAATGTCCATACAATTTTAAGATTGAAAATCAACATCCCCAGACTGAATCATATCAAATATTGTTGTTTGCAGAGTTGATTTGTAGTCTTTTAGTGCAAATTGGATATTTTGGCGAGGAAAAGAATCTAATAGTAACAGAAGCAAAGTGGAGGTGGGGCTTCAGTTATGAAAAGAAAATAATAAATTTTAGTGTGCTCGGTTTTGATTGCAGAGCTTTTTCCATTTGTAAAAAGCAGAAAAAAACATGTAAGTGTTTATATAAGGTTGCTAATAATATAAAAGTCAATCAGGAGAGGTTGACTAGAAAATTTCCCTTGGTTTATATTAGAGTAATTAGAGAAAAATGTGTACATTTCTGCTTATTTCTCACCATTATATTTGGAATCCTTCTTTCTATGAACATTGGTCCCCAAAGAGTGCAGTTATCTTCCCATAGAATTCAAAGCTGATTGCCTCCATACCATTGTTAGCCGTATGGGACAGGAGTTTTATTTACCCATTTTCATTAAAAAATAACTAACATCTAATCAAATGGAGCTTCCTTATTAAATTAATAATTAGTGAGCAGCTCCGATAAGAATACAGTATTGTACAATTAGGATTCCCCCCCCACACACACACACACATTGTCGTCTTTTGATCCCCTCTGCTAGGTTGGATTCCTTAGTGATAAAAACAAGTCTCTCCAAACATGGGATATAAAAGCCGCCTGGTATAAAAGCTTGTTCTGGTCTCATCAAAAAGATGAGGGTCGATTGCATCTTCCAGCAGCACTATTGTGAATACAGTCCATAATATCTCTAATACCAACATTCGAAAGGCTTTGAAAAGCAAAAACATTTTAGGCTTGGAGATAGAATTCACTTGGGAGCAAAATGCAACCTGAACTAATGAAAAGGTATATATTGACTTAATTTATCCATTATGTTTTGCTGAAGAAATATTAATATGTTTGGTTATGAGGTGCTGCTCTTGGCCACTGGTATGTAAGGTGTTTTGAAATGGTTTGTGTGCCTTGTGACATTTTTTAATTCACAGAAATTCTTGTTTCTAAAACACATCCAGCCCCTGGGTTTTGGTTAAGCAATGTGAACGTATATTAATATTTTTGGCAGTACACTTGAGCCAGGTATTTGCATATTTAAAAACATAAATTTTAGTTCTTGCACTCAGTGAATTCAGTTCAGTTAGGAGGATAGTTAGCATACTGTAATGCGTGCAGTGATAGAGATGTACACAACCTCTTTGTGAATACCGCCATTTAGTGACCACACAAGAAAATAGTATGAAAGTTTGATGTTATTTTGTACTTTTAGACTATAATTTAGACAGGTGACAACCCATTATGTAACCTAAACTTAACTTGGCTCTGATTTTCACTCACAAAATGAGAAGACAGAAGGTAAGGAGTAGCCCTAGAGCAGATGCTGAAATTTTGGATTTCTAATCTTAACTCTTCTGCTATGTGACCTAATATTCCAAAGCAACATACAGTTCCAAAAGCCAGCAGTGCATTTTTTTCTGATGACAGAATAACATTCTATAAGTAATTGTTGAAGTAATCATACAACATGTTGATTAGCAATCAGGAGGGCTTCAAATCAAAAAATGAAAGCTGATATAGAGGAAACACTCTTTCCTAATTGGGAAAGAGTTGTCACTTTGAGATGAATTTAATAGTCATAAGGACTGAAAGGAAATTAGTATTATTTGGAAGGAATCTTGCGTTCCCCAGAGTTAATGCTGTCATATAATTTAGGCAAGAGAATCTGCCTAAATTTAATTTAGGCGGGAGAATTCTTATCAGATAAGAAGTGTTGGTAGAAACAACAGCAAAAGAATGGAAAAATAGAAGGTTGGGGAATATGCTGTAATAACTTTTCCCCTGAGGCTGACATTGCAGCACAAGACCCACAAACATCTTTAGGCCCTTCAGTTCAGTTCAGTCACTCAGTCGTGTCGTGACTGCAGCACGCCTAGTTTCCCTGTCCATCACCAATTCCAGGAGCTTACTCAAACTTAGGTCCATTGAGTTGGTGATGCTATCCAACCATCTCATTCTCTATTGTCCCCTTCTCCCACATTCAGTCTTTCCTAGCATCAAGGTCTTTTCCAAGGAGTCAGTTCTTCACATCAGGTGGCCAAAGGTGGAATGTCAGCTTCAGCATCAGTCTTTCCAGTAAATATTCAGGACTGATTTTCTTTAGGATTGACTGGTTGGATCTCCTTGCAGTNATTTTTAATAAAATTATTCTGGCCTTAAAGTTATACTTCTAAAGTTAAGGCTAGCTATGCAAGTAGTTTGACTGTTTTGACTAGTTTGGTGCTTTCCAACTAGTTGATAAGTCATCAGTCTTAACAGTTGGTTCCTGACTGACTGCTAATGGCAGTTAGTAATTATTTAGAAAACTAAACGATTGAGACAAAACCATAATGATTAAACAGTTATTTTTTGAGTGCTTTTTCAGCCATTGGTGGCCTTTAATGTATGATTTTCTGGTTGTATTATAAGTTAAAGTGTCTGTTTTGCAATGATTTAATTTTTTTTTAAGTCTGATTTGCTTTCCTTCTTTTGTGTGTTTTCCTAAGCAAGATAGACCTCCTTCCCCACTTACTAAAAAAAAAGAAGCAGCAATAGCAGGTCCTTTAGATTCACAGACTTGATTTCAGCTTGGCCACTTCACTTTATCACAGTTCTGCCCCTTTACAATTTTGTTACTTCTGACACGTTTTACCCCCTTGAGACTTAATTTCATCTTTAAAATGAAAATTTCTGCTAATCTCATTCTGTCATTTAACTGGTTTCATGAGTTCAGGCAAATTATTTAATCTGTCTGGGCCTCAGTTTTTCTATATATGAAATGAAATTGTCTTAAACGAGGTAATATGTAGGAGAGTGTCTGCAGTTAAGAAACCCTCAGCAGATATTTTCCCCTCATCCTATTCCACCTCATCTAAACTCTATATCTTTCAAAGTTAGCTTCAACTTTTGCTTGCTATCATTTCCTTTGCTCGCTCATAGCAGGCTCCTTTTGTCCAAAGTCATTGCACCTGCCACGTAGATCTTGGGTCGGGGCTTCGCTGGTGGCTCAGACGGTAAAGAATCTGCCTGCAACACAGCAGACCCAGGTTCAGTTCTTGGGTTGAGAAAATCCCCTGGAGAAGGGAATGGCAACCTATTCCAGTATTCTTGCCTGGAGAATCCCATGGACAAAGGAGCCTGGAGGGCTACTAGTCCATGGGGTCACAAAGAGTTGGACACAACTGAGCAACTGACTTTCACTTTGACTAGATCTGTATGGATCAGCATTGTTTTGAGAACTTATTAAAAGCGCAGTTTTTTCGGTCCCATTCCTGAGTTTGTAGGTTTGGCATGGGGTGAAGGGAGTGAAGTCGCTCAGTCATGTCCGATTCTTTGTGACCCCATGGACTGTAGCCTACCAGGATCCTCAGTCCGTGGGATTTTTCCAGGCAAGGATACTGGAGTGGGTTGCCATTTCCTTCTCCAGGGGATCTTCCTGACTCAGGGATTGAACCTGGGTCTCCCACATTGTAGGCAGACGCTTTACCATCTGAGCTACCAGGGAAGCCCTGGCATGAGATAGTTCTATGTTTTTACCTTTCTCTTTCAGATGTTC